TTGTGTCATGATTGGTATTAAATGATGGCTCACCATCTGATGGGCTGCCTGACTGCCACATTTCTCTTCATTAGCAATATTTGGATTCCAACCCTTTCAACTGTTCTTTCTACGCGTGGTTCAACATAGTCTTTTCTATTGTACTGGCTTTCCAGAAACATAAGAGTCAGACTTCCGTATGGTTGGTGAACTTTGAAATGTATTCTCTGTATCAGAACTTCAATAATCTTACAACATGTTGGAAGGAATGAGAAAGCCCTCCTGCAGTATATTGTCTCTATCATACCCAGTAAAATATGTTCTGCTCAAGTTACTACACCATATTAGTTGACCTGAGTCTTCAATTGAGATATGTCTCCTACAGTCTACTCCAATCTCTGGTTATATTTAAAATGGTAATGATCAGGAGAAGGTACCCCTTTTACAGCCCACTGTTTTTAGTAACCACCTCCTGTGTTCCAAGATGTAGCTTTCCATCCCTCATCACTTTTGGGAGTGTTGAAACTCAGAGTTTCACCTTGATATTCTGTAAGGATAGCACATTTCCAGGTATCCCAAACTCTTGGGCTGAGTTGGCCATCCTGGAGTCTAAGAAACTAGAGGAGAAGCAGGAAGCAATAAACCTTGTCACCTAGTATTGCCAGGATTCAGGCATTCTCCATGGCTAACAGCTCACCTGCTCTTTAGGTGATTTGTTGTCCCTAAATAAACTCCCCAGCTTTCACAGCACAGAGGCATGATCTGTACTTGACTCTCATTTTAGAACTTTTCCATTGATTCTGTTCTCATTAATGTGCTTCAGATATATCCTTTTCCAGGGCTTAGTCTGGGATGGAAGAATCAGTGAGCAATTACCCAATACTGTCAGAAACTTTATTATTTGTTTATTTGTTTGATCGATTAAGAACTTTACTTCTTTATCTAATGAACAAATACATCTCCTCTCTGGGGCCCTTTACATGAGCCCTTTCCTTAGCTACAGGAGTGTCATCTCAAAAGATTTTTCTGATTGGTTGCAGCTCAGCTGACGTGCTTTTTACTGTGCTTGACTTTATTACATCCTCAGATCTCTTTTCTTTTATTCCTGTCTGTACTGCCTCACTCTTGAGCTCTACTGACTCCTATCAAATCACCCCTGAAGACAATGGCCCAAAGTGGAGTCCCGGGACTAGGATGTTTCATTATGGCTGTCCTGATGAGCTTTCACCAAACATGGGCTATCAAAGGTAGGTACTGAGAGAACCAGACTTAAAGACAATAGGCTGTGAGATCACTGGGGAAATGAACTGTGGATATTTGTAAGACAATCTCTGGAGCAAAAGAAAAGTGTGATAGGTATTACGTGGGGCTGAATCTAAAAGTATAATAAATCGCAGCTTGGAGAAGTTATCTCCTCACAAAATGAAGTAAGTTCAATTTAGCTTATAAGAACAAAACTGAGTTGTATATTGGTTAATACCACCAACTTTGATAAAAGCAAAGCTAAAGGAAAAATATTTTCTGACACTGATTAACAAGTTATCTCTCAGAGCTTTACTTTCACTTTCTGGAAAATTAGTAAAATTAAACATTAAAGACCTCACAGTTTTGTGAGGATTCAGTGAGACAAAGCATGAGAAGTTTTTAGCACTGTTCTTGGCTGAATATATGGTAGTTATTTTTGGCAAGGCCGCCTGGGTGGTGTACACAGTTAAGCACTCGGCTACTAACTGAAAGTTTAGTAGTAGAGTTCACCCAGATGCACCTTGGAAGAAGGGCCTGGCCATCTACTTCCAAAGATCACAACCACTGAAAGCCCTGTGGAGTACAGTTCTGTTCTGACACACATGAGGTGGCCATGAATTGGAACTGACTGACGGCAACTATTTTTTTGTTTTTGTTTTTTGGCGTGTAAATCCTGTCAACCTATTGTAAGCACAGACATTGTTTTGCAGATCACTAGAAAGGAAAGTTACCGAAGAGCAACAATCTACCTAAGAGAGACAGGGAACACAGGAATGTTGATATAAATTGCATCTAATTTCCTTCTTCCTATGCCAGTAATTATCCACCTTACAATGGATCTTATAGTGATCCAAGGTCACTGTTACATAGTGATATTTCCAGAGAGTAGAAAAATGAATAAGGAATTGAGGAGTCTGATATTTTTTTCTGCCATCTCCAGAGCAAATATTTGTGCTATTGTGAAGACATGATATGAACAAGTATTCTTTATCCAGAGTCACTCCCACAGAAAGTCACATGAATACCGGAAATATGCAAAGTAGTGACCCATTTCTTTCACCATGAAGGCAATTGTCGTTTCCATTGCCCAGAAAGAGCCATACATGGGGATCCTCACCTGAAAAGATAGAGGCTCCTCTCTTAAGTTGGAAAGGGAAGCTAGAATATTTGTGTGTGTGTGCGCGCGCATGTGTGGTTAGAGCTGCAAATGTTAAATTAATCCCTAGGTTTATTAGTATATAGTCAAACCTTAAAATACCTTACCTGTCTCTGAAAACTAAGTAGAGAAACAATCCCCATCCCATGTACACATACCATAAAGCATACATACTCTTTAATTTAGTTTTCCATTTTCAACTTGATTAGCTCCTTGGTGTTGATGGTTCTCAGTATCAACCATAATAGAATACAGTATGTTCCATAATGATAGTCCCAAAATAAGGAGCATTAAGATACAAAAGTGCGTGCTGAGGTCAATGCAAACTTAATGCTTCTCATAGAGGTGTCTATGGTGTGGTGTAGAGATAGGTAAATGGGTGCTCTACAACACCACAAGGTCTCAATCTTAGTTTCTGTGTATTCCAGGCTCCAGTTGTATTTTTCTTAGATACAAAGCAGCCTCTGACCCTAAATAGTGAACAGCATTTGTTGTAGACCTGATATATACTTGTAAATTATTTACTTGGTCTCATTTACCTTCAAAACAGACCTATGGAAGAAGTAAAACAATGACAGAATTATAATTCGAAAACTACTCTTAAATAAGTAGAATATTTCATTCAAGACTGCTCAGCAAGTAAGTAGCTGTATAAGAATTCAAGATTTGACTTGATTCCAGAATTCAGAAGCAGTGTTTCCCCTTCCTAAGCAGTGTTTCCCTCTTCTTAGAGTACAGTGTTCCGAGAAAGACATGCTCTGGAACTCTGACCTGTTCATGTATTTAAAGTCTTGGTAAAAAGAGTGAGAGAACTTTTCTGTTTTGGGGACCCATGCTGGATTTCTTAACAGAGTTTTATTCCTCAGCCAGTAACATGGAGCCAAATAACAGCTTCACAAGACTCTGGGCTTTTTAGCCCTCATCATCTTCAATCTGCCCTCTCTAACTCTGCCCCCTTCTATCTCCTTTCCAGCACTGTTCAACAAGCATATCCTTCACTCAGGCCTCAGCTTTCCAAACTCACTCCTAGTGTCCCTCACTCCTCTATTTCACTGGGCCCTATCCCTCTCCCTCTCCACCACCTCCTGCCCACATGTATGTGTCTCACGTCCTGGGTTCTTCTTCATCTCTCTCTTCTCATTCCCACCCTAACTCCTTTTCTTGCCTTTTCAGAGGAGCATGTGATCATCCAGGCTGAATTCTATCAGACCCCTGACCAGTCAGGCGAGTTTATGTTTGACTTTGATGGTGATGAGATTTTCCATGTGGATATGGAAAAGAAAGAGACAGTCTGGCGGCTTGAAGAATTTGGACGTTTTGCCAGCTTTGAGGCTCAGGGTGCATTGGCCAATATAGCTGTGGACAAAGCCAACCTGGACATCATGATGAAACGCTCCAACTACACGCCAAACAACAATGGTACCTCTCTCTGCTGCTCTCCTAGACATGGGAATCTGTAGCTTTAACATAAATGTTTCGGCTCTTGGTGTCGTATTTTTGTGACTAACTTTCCCCATGGGGTTACTAGAGGTCACATGGGGTTGTCATGAGTTGGAATCTACTTGATGGCAACTAGCAACAACAAACTGGTCATAAGCAAGCCAAAAATTACCATGCCACAGGTCCAATGGGTTTATTTCTTCCTTTATGTACACATGTCTTATCTCTGCCATCCATAGCCACTCACAAAAGTCACTACCCTGAATCCATGCTGGGGGAGCCAGGAATAAGGTCCTTGGATATCTTATACCTCAATATTTGTTCAGTTTTCGGGAAGAGAGTGTCAGAGATAGGTATTTGAGACCATGGCATAGAGTCCTTAGGATGCAATTTCAACTGTTCTTTTAGCATAGCTTTGGCCCACATTTCAGTGAAGGAGGGGAAGGGATGAGCCTCAGCATGGAAGTCTAATTTCTGTCATGTGCCCGCTCCCCCAGAATCTCCAGAAGTGACGGTGCTTTTGAACAGCCCTGCGGAAGTTGGACAGCCCAACATCCTCATCTGTTTCGTTGACAAATTCTCCCCACCAGTGCTCAATGTTACATGGCTTAAAAATGGAAAACCTGTCACCACAGGAGTGTCAGAGACAGTCTTCCTGCCCAGGGAAGACCACCTTTTCCGCAAGTTCTACTATCTCCCCTTCCTGCCCTCAGTGGACGAGTTCTATGACTGCCAGGTGGATCACTGGGGTCTCGACAAGCCGGTCCTCAAGCACTGGGGTATGAACCATCCTTCAATCTCCTTTGTTGCATGGTTTCCTCAGATGATGCATGCGTCGGGTCCCTTGGGACCCAGAGTGCCCTAAAGGCTTTGTACCATCTGATAAAATCCAAGTAACTTGTCTTCTGCCATTACTCAGCTTCCCCCACTATCTACTCTGCAATTCCTTCAATATGTCATTCTATTTTCCTCTCCTTTAATCTATGAATAACTAGTCTCTTGACTAAGTAATTTACATTTGGTACTAAGTGCTACTCACTACCACCATTCATTACCCTGTACTCTTTTATTTTTCCCCAGAGTTAGAAGTGCCAGCCCCCCTCCCAGAGACCACAGAGAATCTGGTGTGCATCCTGGGCCTGCTGGTGGGTCTGGTGGGCATCGTTGTTGGCACCATTTTCATCATCAAGGGCGTGCGCAAAGGCAATGCTGTTGAACGTCGTGGGCCTCTGTGAGGCACCTGAGGGTGAGTTTAGTATTGCCATAGGAAGACATATATATAGTTTTCTGAGTGGGGGGAAACAGAGTGGGAAAAAGAACATGTGGTGCCTTGAAGATAAATGGGTAGACAAAGCTGTGATTCTTGATTTACTTTCCTAGGACAGAGTCAGACATGGGTATAATCTGGCATCTCAAAACTTCAGGACCCCTTGTCCCTTTCCACAGATGTGCACCTAGACCGCTACTTAAGTCTTGGAAATTATCTCCAGTTCCTAATATCATTATTTTACATTAGAATACAAATTTCAGTGATCTAGGAAAGTCACCTACAAGATTGGGGCACTTCCTGGCTTGTTTCCTAAAGAAAGCTCAGTTTGGCAGCATTTCCAAAGCTGGTTCCTTTGGAGTTAGCATAGACTCATTTCATGAAATGGAAATCTCATAGAGTCCAATGCCTGTTTTAGCTTCTCTAGTCTGAGAAGTGGTGTTGGATGCTCTAAAAGGGGGTAGAGTGTGGCGTGTTCATTCATGCTCACTTGAAAAGTAGGGTGTAGCAGTTCATGTTGGAAGAGTTACATTTACTAGAAGTCAGATGATATTAAGAGACTTTTCCAAAGCCAAAAGATTAATGGAGAAGAGGAGGGAATCTGAAGGAACGAACTCAAAATGTTTATCTTAAACTCTTTAGTAACTATGTGTGTTCTGCTGTAGGTTATGGCCTTTCTTAGAAGATCAATGAAGAAAATTCTGCTTTAATAACTTTACAGAGTCAGCAATACTCCAATTGTTCACCTCAGTGAAGACAAGCATTCTTCAGTACTTCCCACCCTAACATCCAACCCCAAGGGTGGTGATGCCTTCCTCTGATCTCTCTATACTCTAACATCTATTGGACTTATCTGTCTATTGTCCCTTCCTGTATCTATTTTCCCTCCATTTCCTACAGTCATTTTACCCCCATGCAATGCCTCTGGAAAAGATTCTATAGGATCCCTTCTCCTCTTTGTAATCTTCTGAACATTCCACAGGGGCACCTCCTGTATACTTATAGCTTAAGTTTTCTCCAAACTGATTTTTTTCTGAATACAATAAACTATTGGATGGGTCTTAGGTGGAGTTTTCAGTGTCTGATCAATTTCTTCATAGAGGCTAGGGGAGTATATATTATTCTTTCATCCTGAAATCTCTGAATGTTGAATGTATCTTATAAGCTTTGGAATTAATTAAAAATACCTAGATTCATTAGGGCTTGGTATTATTCAGAGCATCTGCAGGCAAACCAGTTGCTGTGGTCCAGTCCTCATCTGGAAAACCCTAGAGTATGGTTTGTTTGTTGGGAGATATCTACTAAGCAATGGGTTCAGAATTAGTTTTTGGTCCTTGGGCCTGCAATTCAATGAGATATCTGGATCTTCAGTACAGTGGATCTCAAACCCCAGGATTTGGACCCTGATAATGAATGAGACGGATGATGGGGATAAGACGGGGGTGGAGTGGGGAGCAGAATGAGAGAAAGATCCACATATATTTCAGAATTTGTATATATCAATATCACCCATTCCAGACTTAATGAAGAATGAAATTGGACACTAAGAATTGGAATTACCCATTGTATTAGACATGGTCCTTGATGCCTGCGTCATTACCAGGAGACTATTCCAACTTATTCTTGGGACCATCTTATATTTGGAGATGTTTCCTTGAGTGGAAAAATTGAGGAAAGTGTAGGATATGGCATTAAAAAGGGAGGAAAGAATATTTAAGACACAGTGAACTGTTGCTTATTTGTCTATGAAACAACAGCTGGACATTTATTTCTAAAATGGTTACCAGAACCTACCCCAAATCACAAAGATAAATTATCTATGACAGTGTGGTAGATTGGCAAATGTGTGCTGCTGATATGAGTTAGACTTGGCTTTCATCTTGGCGCTATCACTTACTGGCTATGTATTCACTGGTATCTCACTTAACACAACTTGGCCTTTCATTCCTCTTATGAAATATTGATGTTAATATTCACTACATTTAGCTACTTTGAGAATTACAAAAGAAAATGCAAGCAGAGCATTTAGGTACCATGCGTAGTGATAATAATGTTGCAAAAGTTATTAATCTCATTGTTTTTCCTCAAAATTTCTGCAGCCTGGTGTTTAAAAAGAGAGAAGCAAAATAGAACAAGCACAAACCAAGACAGCATAATCTTACCAGTAAACAGCAAGTTTCTATACCTAGGGTTTAGAGATTCAGAGTAGAATCTGGAGAAAATTGGAAATAGAAGACGAACAGGTATTTCTTTCACATAACTCCAATTTTTCTGATTATAAAATAAATAGAGGTACAGTAGAGAATGCACTGAAACTCAGACAAATAACAAATAAAAAAAACAAAACCTAAACCATACCCTATCATGTGAGAAAGACACTTTTTTAATAGATTTTATTTTTAGAACAGTTTTAGGTTCAAAAAACAAAATGGTGCAGAAAATACAAACCAAAAAAACCAAATCCATTATCATCAAGTTGATTCCAACACGTGGAGACCCTATATGTATCAGAGTAGAACTGCATACCATAGGGTTTTCAATGGCTATGACTTTCAGAAATAGATTGTCATGCCTTTCTTCCACAGTGCTGCTGGGTTGATTTGAACTGCCAACTTTTTGGTTAGCAGCCATGTACAAACCATTTGCACCGCCCAGGGACCTCTACAGAAAATACAGAGATTTCCAACCCCAGAACCCCCCACCACCCACCACACGCATACAGTTTCTCCTATTATTAACATCTTGCATTATTGTGATATATTTGTTACAATTGATGAACCAATATTCACATATTATTACTGACTGAAATCCACAGTTCACATTTGGGTTCACTCTTTGTGTTGTATAATCCTATGGGTTTTCACAAATACATCATGTCCTGTATTCACCATTGCAGTAACACATAGAGTAGTTTCACTGCCCTAAATGCCCTGTGCTCCACCTATTAATCCCTCCCTCACTGCCTGAATCCTGGCCACCACTGATCTTTTTGCTATCTTGATAGCTTTGCCTTTTCCAGAATGTCATATATTTGGAATCATACTGTATGTAGCATTTCAGATTGGCTTCTTTTGCTTCATAATATGCATTTAAGATTCTTTCATGACTTTCATAGCTTGATAGCTCATTTCATGCACCATTGTATGGAGGTAGTACAGTTTTTTTTTTTTTTTTTTTTATCCATTCACCCACTGACGGACATCTCGGTTGCTTCCAATTTTTGGTAATTATGAATAAAACTTCTATAAACATTTATGTGCAGGTTTTTGTGTGGACATAAGTTTTCAGTTCATTTGGATAAATACCTAGGAGGGCAATTGCTGGATTATATGGTAAGCCTTTGCTTAGCTTTGTAAAAAATTGCCAGACCATCTTCCAAAGTGGCTGATCATTTTGCATTTCCACTAGCAATGAATGACAGTTCTTTTGTGTCACAGCCTTGTCAGCATTTGGTGTTGTCAGCGTTTTGGATTTCAGACAGAAATCCACTTTATAAAAGCTTTTATTTAGAGATAATTATAGATTCACAGGATGTTGCAAAGACAGTACAGAGAGAGCCTGTGAAATCTACAACCCAGTTTTTCCTAATGGTTGTGCCCATTGCCGTCGAGTCGATTCTGACTCATAGCGACCCTATACGACAGTGTAGAATTGTCCCATAGGGTTTCCAAGGCCGTAATCTTTATCAAAATTAGAAAACTGACATTGGTACCGTGTGTGTACATAGTTCTATGTCATTTTTTTACTTATGTAGCTTGTGTAGACAACACCACAATCAAGTACAAAACTATTCCATCACCGCAGAGATCTCTCTATGCCCCCGCTTTGTAGTCACAACCACCTGTCTCCTCATACTCCCACCTAACGTATGATTATCACTAATCTGCTCTCCATCTATAATTTTGTCATTTTGAGAATGGTACATAAACAGAATTGTACAGTATGTGGTCTTTTGAGATTGGTTTTTTCACTCAGCAAAATGGCCTTGAGATCTAAGTTTCTGCATGTATCAATAGTTTGTTCTTTTCTTATTACTGAGTAGTATCTTGTTGGAGAGTTGTACCACAGTTTGTTCGCCTATTTACCTATTGAAGGACATTTTAGTTATTTCTACTTTGGGGTATTACAAAGAAAACTGCTATAAATATTCATGTAAAGTTTTCATATGGGCATAAGTTTTCATTTCTGTATGATGAATGCCCAGGAGTGTGATTGCTGGGTTGTGTGATAAGGGTATGTTTAGTTTTTAAGAAAGTATTTTCCAGAGGGCCTCTACTATTTTACATTCCCACCATCGGTGTATGAGCAATCCAATTTCTCCACATCCTTATCAGCGTTTTCCACTGTCAAGTTTTTATTTTAGTTTGAGCTATTCTAATAAGTTTACAGTGATATCTCATCATGTTTTCAATTTGTATTTCTCCAGAGGTTGATGATGTTGAATATCTTTTCATCCTCTTTAATAAAATACCCCTTTGTGTCTTTTGCCCATGTTAGAATTAGATTTTTTTTACTGTAGAATTTTTTTTGGAACAAATTTATATTTTATTTATGTTAAAAAATCAGTTTTCCATAGTTCTCTATATAATAGGCATGAAAAAGTACATATTAATGCAATGTGTACTAAGCTACCTATCTCTTAACTAATAATATTCACCAGTATATAATGCTATTACAGGATCACCTTCTTATGTTCTTTTTTTATTGTGATAAATATATAGGTGAGAAAGCATTCTCATTTCTACAATCTTCACATGTACAGTTTTGAGAGTTCTTTATATTTTCTAGATACGTGTCCTTTGTGAGGTATGTGGGTTGCAAATATTTTCTCTCTATCTGTAGCTTACCTTTTCATCCTCTCAACAGAATATTTTACAGAACAAAGGTCTTTTAATTTTGATAAAGCCCAATTTATTGATGTTTTCCTTATTACAGATTGTGGTTTTAGTGTCATGTCTAAGAGTTCTTCACCAAGCCCTATGTCCTGAAGATTTTCTCCTATTTTTTCTATAAGTTTTATAGTTTTACATGTAAATTTATGATCTATTTTAAGTGTATTTTTGTGTAAGCTGTGAGAATTAGGTTGAGTTTCTTTTTATTTTTTCTTTTTCTCTCTCTTTTTTGTGTATAGATATTCACTTGCTCCAGTTTGAAAAGACTATCCTTCCTCGTCTTAGTCATCTAGTGCTGTTCTAACAGAGATACCACAAGTGCATGGCTTTAACAAACAGAAATTTATTCTCTCACAGTCCAGTAAGCTATCAGTCCAAATTTAGGGCATCGGCGCCAGGAGAAGGCTTTCTTTCTCTGTCACCTCTGGAGGAAGTTCCTTGTGATGCTTCAGTCTTCCCTTGGTCTGGGAGCATCTCAGCCCAGGAACCTCAGGTCCAAAGACGGGCTCTGCTCCCAGCACTGCTTTCTCGGTGGTGTGAGGTTCCCATGTATCTCTGCTCTCTTCTCTCTTTTATATCTCAAAAGAGATTGGATTAAGACACTATTTAATCTTGTAAACCTCAGCAGTATAACTGCCACTAATCCATCTTATTAGATCATAGTGATGGAATTTACGACACATAAGGAAATCACATCAGACTACACAATCATGCAATACTGGGAATCATGACCCAACCAAGTTGACAGATATTTTGGGGGAACACAGTTCAATCCATGACGTTCCTCCATTGAATTGTGTTGCACCTTTGACAACGGTGAATTAGTAGTACCCGTGTGGGTCTATTACTGGTTTCTCTATATTGTTCCATGGATCTGTGTGTCCATTTTTCTGCAAATACCAATAAGCTTTGATTACTGTGGCAATATATAAGTATGGTTAAAGTGATTCTTCCAACTTTATTTCACTTTATCAAATTTGTTTTAGCTGTTCTAATTCCTTTGCTTTTCCATATATATTTTAGAATAACTTTGTCTACCAAAAAACTAAACTCATTGCCTTCTGTTCTGACTCATAGTGACCCTATAGGACAGAGTAGAACTGCCCCCATAGGGTTTCCAAGGCTGTAAATCTTTATGGAAACAGACTGCCACATCTTTCTCCTGTGGAGCAGCTGGT